CCCCCCCCCCCCCCCTCACAAGGCTCACCCCTACAACCCTCCCAAGGCATTCAATCATACTTTTGTACCTCGTACATCTTTTCGTGAGCGCCATGGCCGCACTACATTGGCATTTCTCCACTGCAAAAGAGCAATGATCCCTTGGCGGCTGCATATGTGTATGTATATACATGCTACAAGCGGGTCTCACGTCATTGGGAGGCGGCCCGTCTTTGTGCATCATGTTGAGTAGTCCCAGCGCCTGATTCCACCGGCCTCCTTTTCCGCAAGCCGTGATTGCCGAGCAAAAACACCTGTTGCAGTTTCAGTTTCGGTGTTAATGTTTGCGGTCCCGATAGTGGCAGCGGTAATGCGACATATATACGGTGATGAAACGCCAATAATTACCACAGGTTAGTTGACACCGTTTTGTGGGTATCAATAGTTGTGACCACGGCTCGCCGTCGTGGAGAAGTCGAGATTTGAACTCCGTCAAGCGGGTGTAGTACCCCACGCAACCTATTGCTGGAAGTGCTTGATGGAATATTTCTCATATCCTCGTGGTTATTACGTAGATAACGATCGAGACTACATTTAAAACAACAAACGAGTGAACCCAGCGAAAACCTGTAGATCATCAAGTACACGACGGTCAGATGCTGGAAAAAAAAAAAGATCGCATGCCACCTTCTTGCCGGCCAAACACAACAACGAAGTCAAGACCTGTAGCCTAGGGACAGACTCTGCGTAGCTCACTTGAGATCGGGCTGCACGCCCATCACGATCATCTCGTCCAGCAGCAGCAGCGCCCGCTTCCAGTCGCCCACGCGGGAGCACGCCGAGATCACCGACAGGTACGAGACCTCGTTCGGCTTTATGCCCACCTTCTGCATCTTCGCCAGCAGCGCCAGTGCCTCGCCCGGTCTGCCCGCCTACATGCATTGTTGGTGTTAACACGTGTTGGGTATTTTTTTCAGTTCCACCTACGTGTAGTGTTGGCTTTTTGTAAGTGTGGATATTATTCTCTCAGTTCACGTGTAATGTTGGTTTTAGTAAGTGTTGGGCATTGTTTTTTCAGTTAAAGGTGTTGGTTTTACTGGTGTTGGGTACGACCGCTGCATGGACTAAGAAGACCAAGTCATTGGTGGCCAACATTCCTTCTTGACACGTCACCCTAACAGAGCAATCTGTAGCACAGAATCCTTAAAGGAGCAGTAACCGTTCGAGTTCAGGACGAAATAGAACGAAAACGCACCTTCCCGCAAGCGTCAGCGGCCGCGTTGTAGCAAATCAAGTTCGCCGGTAGTCCGTCGACAACCTCCATATCCCGCAGCAGAATCAAGGCCTTCTGCCATTGCCGTCCCTGGCCAAACCAAGAAACGAAGTAATGATCGATACCACGCGACGGTACACACAAGGAGAGCGTTCTGCACCCGACGCTACACCAATCTCCACGTTGACACACATACACTACACAGTGCGTATCAAAAAGAACAATAGCAATGTGACAAATACACGAGACGTACAGCGGAACACCAACAGCAGTCTTAGAACATAGAAATTTGCATACGCTCATTGCTGCGTATGAACGCTACTGCTGGAACACACGGCAGGATAGGGTAGAGGGAGCGAATTGTCAGAAAATGAAGATAAGGCCAGAACATGGTTAAGTTGGCTTTGTTCCCAGTCGATCATGTCACTCAAGTGCCTAGAGTACAGTTATCTCTGGAACAATTGAGGGACGGTACAGAAAGCTCTTCATTCGCGGGTCAAGACCGGCTAAAAAATAACGAAACATACAAACACATGCATACAGAACGTGCTACCACATTAGAACATGGAGGAAAAAACTTGGGCCTCAAACCCCAAATCTACGAACTTGGCCTTGAGAACAGGTTCTCCGTCAAGCAGCCTACACAATTCGCCGTGGGGATACCCCATAGGCAAAAAAAGAAACGAGCCTACCGTAGGCCCAAGTACAAGATTCTGGAGCGGTGGCGCGTTTTGTACCTTGGCGCAAGCGTCGATCGCGGCAGAGTAGACGAAAGAGTTCGCCTTGATCCCCACATCCCTCATTTCCGCGAGAGAAACGAGGGCTTTTTCCCATTGCATGCCCCGGCCACACCTGATGCACCAACAAGGAAATACCGTTGGGGATGGGAGTTACGGCTCAGACACGTTGTGCTTTTCAATCGCAAGCCGGGGTAATTGGGTCCAAAGAGCTAAGAGAAGTGAAGGTCTTCTGCGGCATGCCCCACCCTCCCGGAAACACAGCAACGTACGCACATATCTCCAAGACCCCCCCTGGGATGTTGTACTTTAAACATGGCTCCAACAGCAGCTACGCCCCATCACTACATGCAAATCAGGTGTATGCTACATCGATGCTAAGTAGATGCGTATGCGCTGTTGTCTTCAACGTCGGTCTTGATGCCATATCATGCAGTATCATCAACATGATTGGCAATGCACCCAGAGTAACGAGGGGAGGTCGAGTTTCGGGAACAAGGGGCGGGTCGTGGGCAGACTAAAGAAAGGCAAGGGATGCCGATTCCCTTCACTTCCAGGATGGCTCTTTGGTGAACATGAAAGAACGTGGAATAAATAATAACACGGAGATGGGGGGTGACCATCGCCTTCCAGATGCGGGAAACACATTCCGGCGAATCCGTTGACCTCGTACCCGAAATGATCGTCTTTCGTGTAATCGGCTGAAACATTGTGGATACATGACTAGAGAAGCCCATCAGCGACGATACGGCACACACACTAACTACATCTCGTGCTGGTGAGGTCTTGGTCAAATCGAGCCAGAGAAGGGAAAGAGAGCTCCATTCTGCGAAAGAGGCCGAAGAACCGGTATTCCCGAGGATGCAAAACAGGCAGAATATGCAAAAGAGGGAAAATTCATCCGCTGCTTGCGTTCGAAAAAAGACACATCGCATGCACTGTTGAGACTAAGACTTGACCCCAAACCCTTCGCGCTTGGTGATGTGAGAGCCTGGTCCAGTGATAACCCGACGTGCTCCGTCCCGGCCTTGCAGGGGCGCGAGGTCAGAGGACTGACGACTACGGCATGCACGACTACGAGTACCCCCTCACACCCTTGAAGTGACCGTGGCCATACTACACCTCGAACGCGGAGCCTCTCGTTGAGTGCACGTGGACGTGTATTTCCAAAAAGCAGCTAGGCCAAGACGAAGAGCAATAACTCACGCGGCGATGAGGCAGGCATAGCTGACGGCGTCTCTTTGTATTCCCCTCGTCTCCATCTCTTTCAGCAGCAGGACGGCCTCTTCCCACTTGCCAGCCCGGCTCAACGCCGCCAGAATCGTGTTGTACGCCTTTTGCTCCACAACCGGCCAAGACGATGAGTACTCCTGTGGTCCACATCAACACCATGCGCGTGTACATACACATGGTTGTCTTCGGTGTTGGCGGCAATCCTGCTACCGGGTCACGTTCGCAGTCACTGCAGTACGCGGTACCACTTTAATACCTCGTATGCTACTTTGGTCTATAGTTATCATTTCTCTTTCTTTGTCTATGAAGTACTGTACTGTACCTCCACGATGACTCGTGTAGGTTTCTTGACTGAGAATCTGTGCTTATGGCCATGTTTGATTTTGGACTTTGGAGGTCCAAGTTCTGAACTGGTCAGTTCTTAAGTGGTGGCGGGTTCTCTTTTGCCCTTCCGGCCAAATGCTCGTTGGTTGCTGTGGCGCGCTGCTCGAAATCAAGCCCGCGCTTGCCCGTCAAAGTGCCAGCAAGTGCATTTTCGGCGCTCCGTACACAGGCGGATAGGCGAGTTCCCCGTTTTTCACACAGCAGGGTACTCCTCACGTCTAGATTTGCAGCATCAGCGTTCGACACTGCTGTCGTTTTTCTAACGACATTTGCGATGGTTCATCTCCATCCTGCTGGAAACGGGGCCACCTGCTATGATGATTCTTGCTTGCCCGCGTTCTAAACGTTCGTTCCTTTCAGTGTCTTCTGTTGGTACTGGGCATAGCCATCGATACCCCCCCATCGAAGCCAGCAGAACCAGCCAGCTTACCGTACCCTCTCACCACCAAACACCCGCGCGAAAACATTCGCGGCTTCCTCACGAAAGAGAGCACAGCAGGCGGCACCAGGGGCGGCGGTAACCTCCACCAAAGCAGCATGTGCAAGAACTCATACGACAACGACAACGACAACTCCAATTCACCTCCCCGTTCGCTTGAGCTGCTGAAATCTTCCGTGCGTTGAGCGCCTGCTCCACTCGAAGCACTTTGAATGAGGCCTTCCACAGACCATTTCGAGCTAGCTTCGTCAGCCCTCCAATCAGCTGCCGACTGAAAGTGGAATCGGATTTGACGTGCGACACAAGAGCATGGTGTTGGTGTTGAGGAACTCAAAACACTCGTGGGGACAAATGCAAAGGCGCGTGTATCGCTGTATATAATGCCAGTCAGGGTGCTGCAGGCGTGTTGGATTCGTATGGTTATTTCTCCGCCAACAGATGTTTGGTTATCACGGCGGCTGATGTTGGAGCCCAGAGCAGCACCGCAACAATACCAACCAGGGGTCAAGGATCCTCCACACATGAAACGGAACTTGAGCAGATGGCGAGACACAAATTGCACACGGACGCTTCATGCCTCAATCTCATTTAGTCTTCCTTGACTACGTCGAGAACATCACCAGGTTTCGAGCTGTAAGAGTCTGCTTAGCAGGAAACGCGCTGTAGCCGTCCCTGCACTGCTAACTGGCGAGCGAATACACGGAGTAATCTTCCCTCTCCAGGACTGGAGAAGTAACCGTGTTAATGCAGCCTGCTACCATACATAACTTCACCCTTCCTAAGCTCGTCGGCAGCATTCTGCAGCCAAAACGTTGTTCTCCAAAGAGAAGTTTGAGCAGATGCTGCAGCCGAGGTGCACGTTATGTAGCTAGAATGTATGATCGTGTCCTCCATACATTCTGCACAGCGGCCGTCCTTGTGCTAAAAGAAGCTCACATGACACCCCGAATGATGACACAAATGGAGACTGATAGGGCTAGGGCTTGGGCGGTCGATCCTATGCATAAGGCTCTGTGGAATTTGGTGACCGGCATGCTTTGGACCGATACGTCCCACGTACAGATCGCTGGATATGAACATGTTACTTTACAAGTGTATGCAGGCGTGTTTGCTACGACCAAGCAAGCCAGGGGCCAAGCATTCCAAAAACCACTTAAGCACCCAATAGGGACGCTGTGCATTATGTTCGAATAAACGGGCACGCCCGAACACCTGGTACGTCCTCACACTTCGAGTATGAATCGTTTGGATAGCATATAAGACTACAACTGCCTGTAGTGTTGTGCTACAGAGAAACATCAACACGACACATGATAACATCCATCGATACCTTTCACGAGAGGTCGGCATTGGTAGGGGGCAGGCCTGTTGGCAACGCTTTATTCGACACAAAGCCAAGCTCTTAGCTCACCTGTAAGCGTCCATCCCCGACCCAATCTCTGCCTCCAAACTCGCCACCTCCTCTTCCTCCGTCCCTTTCAAACGGGCTTGGGCGTGCTGGTGCTGGTGCTGGTGCTGTTCCTCGGGTGGCGTGCCCATCATCTCTACATGGTCATCGTCTCCCAGCGCTCCCGCCGCCGCTGCAGACACGTTTCTCTCCATATTCACCACATCCCCCGCCACATCACCAAACATACCACCGCTGCTCCCGAACATGTCCACCTCTATCCCCCCACCCGCAGCAATCCCCCCGCCGCACTGATCGTGCACAGCTGGGTCGGCCAGCGTCTGCGGTGCAGCGGAGCTATGAGAACCCCGTTTTCGAGCGTTGCCGCCGGCGCGAGCAGCAGGCCGCCGAGCGCGAGATCTGCCGGGCTGGATGCTGGCCTGCGAGAGGGAAATGGAGGCCGGTGTAGAGCAAGACCGGGGCGAGGGGACGGCGTGCAGGCGCTCGGCGATGCCGTTGCTCCTCGGTCGTCGTCTTCTGCACTTCAACCAATTGGCGCCGTCGCCGTGTTGCTGCGAGAGAGCAGCACTGGACGGCACCACTGGGGCTACGAAGGCGCCTCCTCGCCATGGAGGCTGGGCAATGCTCCCCATTTCTTGGAACATGGGGTGCTCTGCCCTCTCCAATGCGGGTGACACAGACGGAGTACGTGTGGTGCTCGTCTGTCGTGTTGTGCTGTGTGAGCTGGCCCTGCACCGCTGATAGGAACTATGGGCCATGGGGGTGCATTGAGGTTTTCGTGTCAAGGTGGGGGGCGTTCGAACGACTGAGGGGATTGGGGTAAAATAGCCTTCGGGATTCAGGAGACTCGGCGTCTTTGCAGCGTCTAGACGACCTACTACTTTAGGACAGAGGGCAAAGGTTCACGGGGAGTTTGGAGGGTGGCCTCATCTGCCGTGGTGATGGAAGTGCTAACTCTTCTGTGTGCATGCGATGTGAAGTTTGCGGTTGGGGGGCAACTACTGCTACATATCCTACTGCATAGAGGGTGAATAACTTCAGGGATGTTCACGGTGTGGAACCACACTGCGGTGCGGTTCTTCGTATCTTGACATGGTCACGGTGCGGTGCGGTGCGTTTTTTTTTTTATCTCGATAGTTGACCGTGCGGTGCGGTGCGGTTTTTACCATGTCCAAATTCGACGGTGTGGTACGGTGGTTTTTTTATCATTTCGAAACTTGACGGTGTGGTGCGGTGCGGTTCACCGTCGTACGTTTTTTCTACCCCGTGAAAAAACCGCACGAACCACGGCCTTGGCGGTGGTGAACCGTCGAAGAACACCAGTACTTCGGTTATCCGTGACAAAATGAAAATGACGGCGTCTCCATGTTTTTTTTTTTTTGCGGGATACGTTGGTTTGATAAATAGTTGTTTAAATCTCGATCCATTGTTGTTGTTGTTTGTTGTTGGTTAGGGTTAGGGTTATTGGTAAAGGTACGAGTGTTGGATCAGTACGGACATACGAAGCTACTGGGTAGAGAGCGATCGGAACGGTTTTTAATGTGGAGGCAACAACAACGACACCAACAGCAACAACAACAATTCGTCTATCATCACGGACATCATGATAGATCCATCAAAATCGGGCAAAAAAAAAAAGATTCGGCAGATTCCCCGTTCAGCGGTCAACCTTTCATTATTCGTATGCATGTGTGATGCGACGGTCGTTTTCAGCACAACCTCCAGCTTTTGCGTACTGCACTTCCTGGAGCTATCTCGGTGGTACAGCAGGGAGGAGTGGGCTGAGAGCCGCCACCATGCTGCTGTGTGTGTTGTTGTGCTATGCATATATGGCGCGTATTTCCTGCATATACCCCACCGACAGGTTATCTCAGCCGCGTTCCCCCTTGAAGACGAAATCCATCGGAAAATCTCTCCATCTCGCCAAGGACGTCACCCAAACATTCGCTACCTTTGTCCTAGCCCTCCCACCTCTTCACGTCGTCCCGAAGCCCTCTAAACTACCAGAAAGGAACGATGATGAACACTCTGGCATGTTCGCTCGCCGTGCTGGCCTCTGCGTCGGCGTTTGTACCCCCGGCACAGCTCCCACGAGCTTCTTCCAACAGCGGGGTAAGTGTACTCCTGTTCGTGTAGGCAGAGAGGTGCTGGACGTCTACCACTACCATGCCTGTAGTCTAGTCGCTGGAAGCTTGTCGCGGCGTATCGAGACAGGGGAAGAGAAGGACTCGGTGATTGGCGTGGCGTGTGGTGTGTGTGCCAGGTATAACGGGAGTTCATCTCGTGAAAGGAGCCCGCGTTGGTCTTGTTTCGTTGACGGGGAGAGCGAGAGGCCAGATGGTATTTGTGTGCATGTGTTCCTCCTGCTCATCTCTCCCCCCCTCCTGTGGTCTCATGATACAGCAGGCCAGCAATGCCATGTACAGCGTCCTTGATACGTGGTGTACGTGACTAACCCTGTGATTCTGCTTGTTCGCCTGTGGCGTTGTTATTCATAGCTAGACAACTTGTTTTGGCCCTGGTCCTCATCGTGTGCATGTTTGCCGCATTTTCGACTGGACAACAGGAGACTACTCTAAATGCCAGATGTTTGGTAGTGCTTTCATAGATTTCTACTCTCGCGCGGGATGGATGTGAAGCGGGCGAGGGCCACAATCATACAATACCGTCATGGTATACGTACGTTCAGTAGTAGAGGTGTTTTTGGAACCGCTTGCAACAAAAGAACGAGAGAGAGTGAGAAGAGGGGACTAGTGTACGCACGACGCGTCTCAAATCACGTATGCGACATGTTACCACTGTAGACTACACCACTTGGAAGCTATGGATTTCATCCTCATCAAAGATCGTGTGAAGAAACTTGAGGGTCACCGCAGGCGCCACTCGGTTAGACCCCCTGCGGCTCCGATTTGTTGCAGCAGCGGGAGGTTAGGGTTGCCCTTGCACGATGTAGTGCTTCGATCACCATGCTGCGGGACATTCCTAGACACGAACATCCGACACACAAAAATACAAGCTCTCGCCTCCTTGGAAACACACACACCCCAAAATCTTTTACGAGCTGGAAAGACTCATCTAGCAAGAGTGATCAGCAGCCACGGTCGTGCTGGTGTACATGGCGATCAGAGAGCAAGCTCCGATCCGACGCGATTTTTTTGCGAATACCCAAGAGTGTCCGTTCTGTACAGTGCCGAATGTTAAGCCCTTATTCACCGCTGCTTTCGGGCTTCGAATCGGGATCGTACACGAAAGGTTCCTCAAAGATGGTGTTTTTTTTTTGTTTCGGCACTATCGTTAGACGTTGTTTCCCGAAAACGCAAACCACTTGATCCACTTGATAGGCGGTAGTGTTAAGGTGAGGTCGCTAATTTTTTTAATTTCTCGTGAAAGCCTGCCTCGCCCGAAGCCATGTGCCCCCGACCTACGAACGCTCCGTCTTTACTCGTCACGACACCGAGCTTGCGAATGGCTGGTTTGATGTTGGCTGCGGATGGTGTCACCGCCTTTGCTCTTTGCTTAAGAGTAGTTCCTCAGGTCCGCAACTCTGTCTGGTTTTCATCTTGGTTGTCCCCACCATCACCATAATATCGTACCATCTTAACGATGTATTGTACTCCATATATATCCCAGACCGCGAACCGATTGTTGGCGTCTTTCTTTCTCCCGCTTGTGGTCTTATTCGACTAGTCATACTTCCGTCAGTTACCGGGTCTTTTCTTCAGCAGTGCCTTCGCTTGTTTTTCCTCCTGTCGCGAGGAGTGGCGTTGAGTGATTTGATATCTTTTGGACTCGAGACACGCATGTTTGTCTGATGCTGGCCCACTTTCCCCTCGCGTTTCTGTTGACGCGTATTTCTGATGGGAATCGTTGTGACGGTGACGACCGTCACATGCGGCGGAATCAGATGAGCATGCAGGCGGCCAAGTCGAAGTCTCTGCCCTTCATGCCGCAGCCCGCTCATCTTGATGGCTCTATGGCTGGTGAGAATGAAACACCGTCTTCTTCAGCAGTAGTACATAGGCACCAACAAATTTCTTAGGCGATTAAGGAAACTCCCGACTTGTGTAACTGCATATGAGATCCGTAGTCACGCGCGAACGTAAATGCTCAGGGGCTGCCTACGAGTTCGTGTTTGTCTTCTGTTGTGTTGGGATCTCTTCATTGCCACACGATAATCTTGTGCTTTTTAGCTTTCGGTCAGGCCATCCACAAATACTCAACCCTCAAGACCATTCTAAGCTGTCACGCCTGTTGTGGGAACATTGAAGCTTTCAACGTTTGTTCTTGAGACGCTGGGGCAATAGCGGTCATATCTCGCGCGCTGCCGTACGCTACTCTGCGCAAGTCTTCGCCTTGACAACCACCGTTTTTGAATCTCAGCACGCCGAACGAGTTCACCGTTGAAATACGACAGTGGTTGCTTACAACCCATGCCAATCCAGCCGCCTGTTCTTCCTCTGCTAAGCTACATGCTGCAGCCCCCCCCCCTCGTGCGTGTTATTGCCCTGACCAATTGGTGCTCTCAGCACAAAAAGCTAACGTGCTGCCGAGTATTATCCACCTATGTACAGGAAATGGGTGCTGTTGAAGAGAATTCAGCCTTCCCCTGCTGCGTGCATGCTGCACACATCGGACAACAAACCCTACCAACGACTGCCCTTACTGCGTGCTGCAACAAACACCAGGGGACGTTGGGTTCGACCCCATGGGCCTCGCTAAGCTCGTCCCCGTCGACTTCATGCGAGAGGCGGAGTTGAAGCACGGCCGCATCTGCCAGCTGGCCGTCGTTGGCTTCGCGGCGACGGATTTGGGTTTGCACCTTCCCGGCGCAGAACACGCCGTGAGTTAATTGGGAACCCCATGTCGTATGTGGCACTCGTTGAAGACTTGCATGCGGACTCGTAATTTTTTCATTTTTTACATGAAGGCTGTTGACAGATTTGCAGGTTTTTCTTTTTAGTTTTTGGTTGAGGTTCGCTGGACTCTTGTTGGAGTAAAAATCATGTGATCTGTGTGAGGTGTTCGAGCTTGGGAAACATGACCGATGGCAGCAGGCAGCTCATCCACACCAACACATACTCCCTAACTTACATGGCCCTTTGATGGCACTATATATGTATACTGCCATGCTCTGATGAGCCTCCGGAGGCGCGCCTTGGAAGGCATACTCTGTAAAAATGTTGTGGCAGGAGGCCGCTGTACGTTGTCGGAAGAACGGTGACGTGAAGCGTAGCGAACAACTCTCAGGAGTAAACAGATGCTCAGCCCCACACCTTGTCCACCGCGCGCGCGGCGCACGCGTTGTCCGGAGTCAAGGAAGCCCTTGAGTCACGCACATAAAACAACTGACGTTCCTCGTCGCAGAGAACGCATGTTTCGTTATCGGCGATTAAAACGTAATTTTTAGATGTGTGTGACTCAAACGCTCCCACGGCTTTGGATACCTCCTTGCGGGGCGCGCGCGGGTAATGGGGTGAGGGCCTGGTGGTACACCTCGTGGAGTCTTTTAGCCGGCCGGTGCAAAGCTGGCGGGTATGTAGAATCTAGAAGGTCGGAAAGTAAGGAAAGGGCACCCCATGGCTGCTGTTGTGCAGCTGAGGAGTTGGGGCGTTCGTGCGGTGGGTGTTCCTGCTGTGTCCTTTCTCCTTGTATTTGACTGCTCACTCCCATGGCCTCACGAAAGGCAAGACAAGAAGAGTCGCACGAAACACAACCAAAGTGGGCGATACCACAGCACATGACTAATATTTGCCGTTTCGACTTGTTTTCCCTGAAAATGCAGGAGAACCGCGCATGTATCTGGCGTTGTGTTCCTGCCATCTGTGGACGTGTTCATCCTGAGACTAAGCAAGCTGTCTCGTCATTGTTCTCCTCTCTGACCATGACCATGTTGTTGGAAATGCTAAACGTCGTGCGTCAGGTGTCGTCGATCGCTGCACACGACGCCGCGGTGGCTACCGGAGCGATGCCGCAAATCCTGCTGTGGGTGAGTGCCTTTGAGGCCATCTCGACCGTGGCCGTCATCCAGATGCTCGAGGGCTCCGGCCGTATGCCGGGGGACTTCGGCTTCGACCCCTTGAACCTCTACAGCAAGCCTGAGAACGCGAAGAAGAAGGTGAGATGAATTGAATCATGCATCATGCAAGTGAATGCAAGAGAGTCAAGTCAAGCACCCCGCAAGGTGTTGTTGTGTTTTGTTCATGTTAGCATCCGCGTCATGCACCGGGAGTGTAGAACTATTGTAGTACGTAGATGTTCATGGCCGGACCAGTTAATTTTTTGTGAGTTTTGGTATCCAATTGACGTCTTTCTTTTTTTGCAAGAGGTGGACCATTTCTAGGCGATCGTCATCGTCGCCCGCAGATGTGGCCCAAGAAAATTCTGCTTTCCCGGCTAGAAAGAACAAGAGTACCCGGTACTACGTGTACCTCTCCAACCCGAAGTGTGACGGCCTATCCACCTGTTCGGCCGTAGGGTGGACACCGCAGATCAAAACGTTCTGTGGGTGCCGCTATTTGTCCAATACAACGGATCTTGCTCATGATGAAAGTGTAGATAGGTGTCTCTGAACGGTTGTGTGCTTCATGTTCCAGTACGCGGCGACGTTTTTATACCGATTGAGGGACGTGCCAAGTGACGAGAATCTAGGTGAAGCGGTATTTGATGCTGTTGGCCATGTTCGAGTATGGGCTCCATACGAAACTGCCGGGTACTTTCAAGATATGGCTCAACAACGCCACTGTCAGTCATGACCTCGTTGGCCCGCACATGCTGATGGCTATCCGCCGCCCCCCATGATTGTCTAGTCGCTGATGAGTCGTTTTTTGGATGGCAACATGTTGAAACTTTGCCCCTTTTACCCACCTCCATGTGTAGTCTATGCATATAAAAACTTGCCGACTTGTTGCTGTTTCTCCCCATGTACGTTCGTTGTTTTGTACACTCAAGGCGGACATGGAGCTGAAGGAGATCACCCACTGCCGTCTTGCCATGTGTGCCTTCGGCGGCATGGTGACCCAGGCCGTGCTCACCAACAGCGGGTTCCCTTACACGGGCTAACTCGTCTCGTGGCGGAATATTCATCTCTTTTTTGTCAAGTACTGGCTCGTTTTTTGTTGTCGGGTCTCTGTTAGACGACGAAATTTGGCTACCAACCACCGCCATCGGGGCAATTTGTTGGCGGTATCTTGCTACGTTGCGATAGATCCATCCCTGCTTCACGACTCGGGTGGCACGTAGGGTCCCCCCACAACAGCACTGACTTGGCTTGCGGGATGCTGTACGGGCTCTCACCCCGGTTGGTCAACTCGTGGCAGGCTCCAATCGAATGGATGCAGTTGCCGGTACTCCGCCGTGAGTGCCGTGTTGTAGAGGGGGTGTAGAGGAGGGGTTTTAAACGGGTGTGGAGAGAAGCTTGCGGCGAATTCGATTTTTTTAGAGAAACAAAGACAAGCACAGTTAATAGTAGCTTTTCGTATTCTCTCGGTTGTCAGAGGTTCTTGTAGCCGTTGTAGATGGAGTGTTTCGTTAGCCCGCCCCTCTTCTCAGCTTATGCGATGCCGTTTTGGCTTGGCTTTTAACGTTGTTGCGAACCATGGCACGGGTCCGTTTCGGCGATTGGCGACTGCCCCTCTTATGCTCTCTCCCTCAATGCAAGTTTTTCATTTTTTTGTTTGTCGAAGGTCTCCTCATGTTGTGCAGGCGGTTGACCGCTTTTGACGTGCACCCTTCACTTTTTGCACACAAGAGCCCTAGACGGAAGTCTGTTTTCGTTGGCTGGGTTTTGTCTACACTACAAGCTGCTCGCCTCCCTGTCCCTCACGGCTTCATCCATTAGTTGGTGAACAGCCGTAGTAGGGTGCAGGAGGAACCGAGCCTCTCTCGCCATTGGAACGGATGTTGCGTCTCGCAGCTGGGAGGTGTTGGGCGATCCATGAAGCATTCGCGACTGCTATGATGTGGAGGTCGCGATCCGCTCGCTCGTTCGGTTCCGTAGCCAGTCACATCTATTTGTGTTTACCCCGCACGCCACGAAACAAGTCGCGTACAATATGCGCATGCCATAGCGATTGAAGGTGCAAGGTGGAGGGTACCCCAAAACAACCGCGCAAGTAGCCCCCATTCTTGTCTACGGCTGTAGGGTACTCCCGGGTGTTTTCCGGCAAATGGCAAACCCGGGGCTTGGGCACCGAATGCTTGCACAACTGTAGGCTCGAAAGCAGCCCCGTGGGCGGTGAAGCACAACCCCCAATGCCCCACGCGTCACCACCACAACACGCACGTTGGGTAATCAAAGCCCGGTTCCGTTTCATCACGTAACAGTACCTCCCACTGCTGTCGTCTACTTCCTGAGGGTTAGCGTTAGCACGAAATGTATGACCACGAGCGGTGGCTATTGACCAGCCAGCAGCTGCCCCAGGCGTTGAGAGATCGCATCCTTCCTATAACGGAAGTCAACCAGAGATTGATCGCCACAAAGATGGTCAGCGGCGAGAGGAGTTTTGGATACCCCATCCTCTCCTTGTAGACGCGTAGTTTTGCCAGGAAGCCCCGACACCCAGGCCTTGGTGCGCTTTAGCAGATCCCTCAAGTGTTGCCCTTGGTGCACGTGCGACATTGGGGGTCTCACACTACAGAGCCACACCAGATCCTGATTGAGCCAACAAGCACGGCGGTCGTTATACGACCACATTCCGGAACGGCGAGGATCGCGTGAGAGTTGGATGTGACGGGATTTTAGTACGGATCTAAACTATGTATGCTTGTATTCTTGGGAAGAGATAAAACGAAGTACAGGGTACGGCGGGGGCTGTTACTTCCCTGGGATACAGTTGTCAAGCTGGACAAAAAAAAAGCAGTGCGATATAGGCTACCCTCTCGAAGCCAACTCACCTCCAGTGCTGCCAAGCCTTGGAGGATGCTTTCAAGGCAACAAGACCGCCTTGTATGCATAGACTCCTCGGCGGATATCACACTACTCGTGACCGTGGCCGCTCGGAATGCTCCATCCAGGTCCTCCTCCCTCAACACGCTACAACTCAAGACGATCTCGCAGTTGCACACGGCGAGCCGAGACGTTAGCAGCCACGCCACCGCCAGGTAGGGAGAGAATATCGCGCCCATCAGTCCCTTGAGAGATGAGCACGTCCGCGTGTTGCACACCGTGTGTTGAGGCAAAACGCCGTGTGTCCCAAGAAAAAGACGTGAAAGCGTAAGGGAACACCAAGCAAGCTTTTGGTTGGGGTGCCATCGTAAAAGCTGTCGACTTGGGGCTTGAGAGGGCGAAACTGCATGCACTAGACAACCGAGTTTAAGTGACGGCAACGTTGGGGAAAAAGCGAAACAGCGGACGAGGGTGAGGGTGGGGCAGATTTTCTACCCCTCGTTTCGAGCTCCGAATGTCTGGGCAATGGGACAAACGACGACTTGGAAGAATCACAGCAAAACCGAAGCAGTAGCGCTGCATTGCATATCTCTAGCTCTTCGAGGTATGGCATCACATCGGCGAAAAATTCCCAGCAACTTCTCCCAGGCACCACAAGAAACCGGCGGACAGAGAGTAACGTTGCAGACAGCGATGTGCGATGGCACACCCGTGCGAAGGAACGTCTTTCGACCGATCCGAACGCAAAGGAAATATACGTGTTGTGGTTGGGAGCTGCGAGTTGCTTGCGTGTCGGCTGTATTCGTGAGTTGTTGTGCGTTGTGAAATCAACACGCGTCACCGCTAGTCCCCTCTCACCTGTCCCGCTTCACCCGCCGCCTTCAACGCCATCGCCACCTGGACGCCTGCTGACACAGGGGATGCAAAAGTCGCATTCCCGGTCTTCAGCGCCTCCGCTAACGACGATTTTTCTTCTTCGGTGGGGAGTTTCGCCGAGATATTCACTATCGCCCCGGCGAGCCGATCGGTAGTGACAACAGCCCCAGCGATGAAAGCGGCAGAGGAACGAAAACGGCTGCCTTAAGGTTTTCCCACCTCCTCAGCGCCTTTGTCATGTAACATGCTTGTTTCAGAATTTAAGATGAGGACGCGCATAACTCCGGTCGACTAGAAAAAGTAGGAGCAACGACACCTTGACCTGTTGTGACCTACTGTGAAGCGAGAACGGCAGTCCCTGTCCCTGATCAGGCGTGCGGCGCCAGGGATCTACGCCTCGTACAAGTCGACATCACCTCGCAGAGGGCGACATACACACGGTGAGAACCCCACCAGTAGGCACCTACTTCACCGAAATATCGCTCTCTGTTGACAAGAACGCGTTGTTGGCAACAGTGGAAGGAAACCTCGGTCTCCGTGCCGGTTCACCAGATTTCATTTTTTATTACCCTTGCTGGCGTGTTCATCTTGGCTGTGACACATCATATTCTTCACCTTTATCTCGTTCGGAGCACTCCGTGAGACACGTGGTCATTTGTCGGACGGCCTCCTCCATCTCACTGAAGTTGGCATGTGGCGGTTTCGTGTAGCCTCCGCAGGCGTACCATGCGAGCAGCCAGACCGCGGACGCTTGTCTTTGGTTTCGTTCCTTGATATCAGCATCAGCATTGCTTGGGACACCTGTTTGCGGCAAGGGCGTGTGAGGGGTGGCGGTCACGACCTTGACAAATCTTCCAGGCTATCCATACCAATGTTCACGCATCTATGCAAAAACGGACAGGGGCGGGGGAGTACTATCTCTTTGCCTCATCGAGCCACTCTGAGTGCGCTCTTGTATGGGTCCTTATCCATGCTTGAAAAGGGGGTGTTCCGCCTGTTCGATCTTCTTCTCCAATCTTGTAGTGAGGTGCCCCGCAAGAACACCTTGTTTGCGACTCAGAAATCGACCTAAGCAAGGGCTCAACTTCCTTGTGTGGGCTCTCCAGTGCCCCACTCTGTTATCCTCTTTGCGGGCTCCATTGGATATTCGATTCCTCGAGCGTGAAATGTTATCCAGTCCTGTTTTCCCTCGACTTGTACGTTGGATTGAGTTAATGCATTACCGTGGGAATCCGCTTCTTTTCAAGAGCGGGAACATCATTTACTGGATGTAGATCACGCATCTTGCTTTCGGCCTTGCAAACATCCAACACATAGCAAACATTCAACGTGTGTAGTCAAACCTCTCTCCCATTCCTCCCAAACACGCTTCCCTCTGAATGAAATCAGTGTCTGTCATCGTGTGCGACAACTGCTCTGCTTCCTCATTCTAAATCAACAACATGTTCTTTGCGTTTCGCGAGCCCTCGCAGCTTGAGCTCCAGGCTGTTCGCATGATTCATGGTGACAGAAGCCAAACGCCCACACTCTCAACATCATACTAGAGAGTGCCAATGCAAACTGGGTCGCCACCAACGCGGGGCGCGGAAGCGTCCTTTTTGTGTTTTTCCTGTGGCACAGCCTTACACCCGTCTCACGAACCAACATGAACTCGTCTTTAGCTGCAGATCATGGTCGTGACGGGTCACCATCTACCTCTAGATTATTCGACGAGCTCATTTCAGCGGGAAAAGAGTACGACAAAGATAATGCGCACGTATGAACAGCTGCTTCAGAGGCGCTCTTGTTTGAAAACGTATTTGTACTAACGCTGCTGCAGACCCTGCCCCATAAAAAAATAATTAGATAAAGATCGTGCTTTGTGAGTCGGTAAATTAACAGTCCATCAAAACAACAACAACCTCGCCGGTAGACGCCTCTCGAATGTCGCATTCCACTCGAACAAAAAACCCCGCCAACCTTGACCCTTATCCGTACTCACAGGATGAGCATGAGTCTGTCGAAAAAATGTACACCATCGCCACCATCACCCAGTGCCGATAACCGAGCACTAGCAACCACAGCTCTGACTCGAAGGGCCGCCGAAGGGTAGGCAGAGACATGGCGGTTGTGCTGCTCAAGACATCGTCGTCACAATCATGTTCCTGGAAAACGCAACAACGCAAGCAGCGAGTCGGCACCACATGTATTATACTTGACCTCTTGTAACTGAGCGGCCTGTGGATGCAAGAACACCAAACGTACCCCTGGTGCGATTCACAACGTGAACCCTTTCCAAGTTGATCCCACAAAAGGTGCACACTAAAACACGGTGTTGAATACACCAGCGGAAAGGGGGTTAAATAAAACACTGCCATGTGTTAGGAGTGGACAAAATGCTCCGTACGTTGCACACACCGCTGCGCAAGTTCCACCTTTGGTCAGCCATCGCATCCTGGCCGCCCTCATGCAGAAAAAAAAAAACTGATGTGGTGTAAATGAATCAGGCACGCGACCCGCACGCAGTCCGACCACGCGCGCTCCGAACCGTGGTCGGCACACCGGACGAGGGGCGTTCTTCGTTTCCTTCCCCCACCTTGCCTCCGCCAAAACGCTTGCCCAAGTCGTCCAGAGCCCAGAACAACGCGTCCAACATGGCCTTTACACACCTGGAAGGCGCCTTCTCGAGGCGAGAAATGAACAGTAAAGCATGGGAATAAAAATGAATACAGTCGGTTAGCACCAGCCCGTCAGAACCATCCTCTAGTTTTTCTCGAGACTAGGGTTCGTAGTTCCTAGGGTTGTGCTACGAAGGACCGCTATATAGGTCTTAGTGTAGGAGTTCTTACAATGACCGAGCTCACGAAGGTTTGCTCAAGTTCTTAGGCATTGAGTTTTTGGAGGTTCAATTTCTTCACTGCCAAGAAATTAAGAGCGGGCGCTTACTGCAATGCTGCAAGGGGTAGCCGGGGGATCGGTGATTTTTGACTTGTTGCCGCAGGCCCAGTAGCGGACATTGAGGGAAAGGCGCACTCCGTCGTGCACCGCAAAGCAATCGCGCAGGGAAGGAAGTTGAGAAGCAAGCTTGCCATGGGGAGGGGTGCCATCACAGGAACTAAATAAGGTAATGCGAGCGCCCGCCGGTTGTTGGTAATTGCATGCAATTCGTTGTGCGGCAACCTCACTTGCAAGCGCATAGAGTGGTCATCAACGCATCTATTCCGCCAAAGACAATGCTGGCAATACGCATGACATGCCTTCGCTTCGTTTGCCCCGCGTATTCCCACTGGCAGGCCTCTCACCTGCCCCAAAACCGCCACGAAGAGGGAAAACTCCCCCCCTTCCGCGTGCCCCCTGCCACCTCCAGCGAGCGCGTGGTCCAGATAACGACCACCACCGCCACCGTTATTCCGAACGGTCCTGAACGCCCTCAGCAAACCTGCGGCCGCTTCCCCACCTGTTCCCAGAACCGCCTCTTCCACCACATTCAGGCCTACCAACAAGCACGCCTCGGACAGAGCAAACCCTCTGGTGCTGTTCCTGCCTTTCGCGGCGTCCACGCTCACGCTTCTGCTCTCTCTCGCCATGCCGCCTCGCACGCACACCTGGAAAGACGGACGAGGTAGCCGGCCCTTGGTAGATCGGGACACCAGCAGTCGCAAAGGTACAATACACCTATGCTGCCTAAGCTATCTGCTGTACAATTGGCTGCACTAGCATCGGGCCTTGATTGTCGAAGCTATCATACGTCTCGCTTTCAAAATGCAAAGTTCCATGACTCATTCTTTCCATCATCGACGTGCGGAACTCATCGATGCTGACGGACCAGTGCGGAACATGAGGGTATCGCCAGATTTTCCAACCGGGGCCAATCAGCGGCAGTATTGGCACCCAGCTCAACAAGAAAAACGGGCATCCAAGCCCAAGATGGCAACGGCCAACGGCATCAACGGCAACCAGCGACAATCAACAGCATCCAGTCATGGCCGCAGCAACCCCATCAGACCGCTTTCCCCGCCGCCACCAGCAACAACAAACCTCGGAGTGGAGAGATGGTACCGCGCCCGTGGCCCTGAGAAGGGCGTCTGGACAGCGGAGTGGCCGGCTTTTCAGGGTCGACAGACAGCCCTGGACACGCTCCTCCCACTCTGACAGTGCGGAGGAATGGTCCTTGGGGAGCAGCAGCGAAGTGGGTGGGAGTGGCAGCGGCTGCAACCCTGATCGAAACTGTCACCGTCGCGTTTGGGGACAAGGGGACCAGAAGCAGAAATGGGAGAAGGGAGACTTGGCTGGTTGTCCGTGGGTTTGTACTGTACCGACTGACTGCTTCAGGCGTAAACGGGATTGGCTCAAACGGCCGGGAACAAGAAAAACGTGGGCCTGAACACTCGTTCTGTCAGGAACAAGAAATGTGAACCTAAATACTCATTCTGTACAGTACCTGAGCGGAAGAAGTGCACATGGGGCTATCATCGGGTTCTATCGGAGAAAGTTCTCTTCACAGCACACTCTCCTGCTTCACCTTTCTCACACGAACTCCGCTCCACATAGTCGCACATATAATCTCATTGCTCCTGCTGTCGCTTGACATACCGATCACCCAGGTCTTGGCCATGAGAAATCAAACCTACACTCCCTTCAAACGGCGAAGTTTTGTGCGCCGGCAAAGGATTTTACGCATCCACCGCAAGCACCAATATTTCCCCGGCCATACAGTCCTAGAATGTGGTGAAAAGCCTACGTACCGCTGATACGAGATCATGGGTGCATCGCGCGTACCTCCTGCCGCCCCTGCTGTTTCTCTGGCGACATCAACTGCTTTGGCGCTGCTGATGCCGCTAGCGATGCAGACCCGCGGTGGTCGCTGTTTGGAATCAGCAACGGTGGTTCGCGGCCGACTTGCGACGATGCTTTCCCGCTGCAGATTGGTCCCCCTAGCAAGTGGTAGGCATTCTGCTGTAAGCAAGAATGGAGGAGCTGCAGACGGCCAAGGAGAGGAGGGCATGACCCACATCGAAGGCGCCGGAAGGACCGGTCAGCTGTATGGATCGGGAGGAATCGTCCCACTAATGGGGAGGGAAATTCCAGCCAATGAAGAGGAATCTTCCAACCACCCAGACGCAAACAGTCGAAATGACACAAAACTGTTGCGGTGGTCGTCATCAAGAGGAGAACTGGAGCTACAATGGTGAGAGAACCCTCGCTCAAATGCAGAGCGGGTTAAAGGAGTGGGCATATGCAAAGTGAATCTCAGGGAAGAAAGAGAGGCGGGCCGATGGACGCATGCAAGCCATGACAGGTGGTTGACTCAGCCCGCTCGGCAGCAAGACATAAACACCCAAATTAAATATCTCAGTGGCGGCATATATACTCGTGTAGGCATGGCGGGTGCTACGGTATTTTCACTGACACCAGCTTTTCCCGTCTTGGCGCAACGGATTTCACTCTCCTGGTTCTTGCAGCTATCACAGAGCAAGGGGGGATTGTGGCATTCTCGAAACGAACCTCGTGAACCTGGGATAGAAAGAAGAAAGACCACCCCCCAACCTTCTCTGTGCGCGGTGATCCGACTTATTCTGGGCTTCGATCTTTACACCTTTTGGTGTGATTGTGGAAGCAACAGCCGGAGCCACAAAGCAAAACCGCGACACAGGACTCTTTGTTCTCTCCACCTTCCATGTGCGGTGCTAGCGCTACTGCTGTTAATCGTGAAAGGGACTTAGCCCAATCCTTTCTTCGTCGACCGTGAAGTCGAGCTTTTGTCAAAGATCGATATGCATAGCTGTCCACGTTTGACTGCGACAACAAAATCCAATTCGTGAGACTGCCCCGAGATCCGAGCGTCAGAAGGTGCGCCACCTCTATGCTCGAAAACGCCCAGGCAGCTGATATCAGGCTGGAGGGAAAATCACCGCTTTCCGCTTGGACTCCGCAGCCGCCACCCACCTGGGATGGGAGCTGGCTTCCCCCACCCATCGGCGCCAGCATGACACTTAGCACTCTCACGGTGTGCTCCAACAGAAGCTCCGAGGGACTCTCCGTTCTTGCAGAACCTAACCTTAACCCCATGTCTTCCTCACATGCCTCTAAGAGAAAATCGCCTTCATCACGAAAAAGACGACTGGTCCTTGCGCCCGCCTCCACTGGAAAGCCTGGCGCGCTAGTGTTGTGGGTAGGATTTGCACAGCAGTGCGGCGTCCCTGCCCCCAGGCTTTGTTGTCTCGCTCCCGCCATTATCATCGTCGCTCCTAGTCGGACCGGTGAGGCTTTTGGTGTCGCCCGTGATGATGCTGACGTGAATGCGGGCCGTGGGCGTTTTCGGCTTGGTCTCTCCTGTTGGACACTCTCGTTGTTGTTCATGCTGTTTATGTTGATATGGCTCTTGTTGGGAATGTACGCCGAGGGCACACCCCGGTTGGACAGCCCGATCGACCGCTTGTTGGTCTTGCGTTTGGAATGGAGGTCTTCCGCAGTCAGGCCTAACAGAACCTCCGTACTCTTCAGGAGTTCTGCCTGAACGTGTGATCGCATACCGCCACACCGCCGTCAGAGAGCGCACGGGACGGGCACCGTCGAAAGAACTTTCACGTTCAGAACACGCTTGGGTACATTTTCACGAGGCTGAGCAACTTAATCGTTGCTTGGTTATGATTAATTCAGCAGCGGAGCGCCTGCACTAACCTTTCTTATAATGCCACATAGATCGAAGCGCCTCCTAACGAGCTATTAATAATGCCACAACAATGAGTGAGGCTCTCGATATCAAGAAGATGTCGCTACAGCTACATATCAGCGTCGATTTCAGTCAGTGATTTGACGAGATGAACAGGGCCAACAAGTCGTCTTAGGGCACTACTTACGCCTACGATATCTTCAACACTCCATACCTGCACGGCCCTGTCGTGGTGAGCAGCGGTCACGCCCCTTCTCCCTAGCAGCTCATCAAGTCCCTTCGACCGTACCAACTTCCCGCCGTACACCTGTCCAAGCATACAGATGCGAAAAGACCAAGGAAATCATGTTAGGTTGACACCGTTCTAGCAAGCTACTTAAGCAGGCTTCTGATGAATCTATCACCTCATTCGTCTCTGAAATAATACCTCGTGCCATTGCTATTTGCAGTCCGTCCTACGTCCACACTCCGACAAATAAAGCCAAGACGCAAGAGCGTCGTAGAGGGGCATCGGGCGAGATCATCTTGTAGGCATGGCCGTGCTACTTGTACGCTCGGTCTGCTCGATCGGGGGTGTCCACTGTTATGGGCTTCTACCCACCCTCCGGGCATCACCCTTTTTTGATACCATACCGACGCGAAGCTCTCCGGGGTATCCTCCGGCGAAAGAGTACCGACAGTCAAAGCACTTCCGTCGCTCCTACCGCGTAAAGAGTAAAGTAAACTCGAATTTGCGTACATGCACAGGGTGCGGGACTGTGGAACAGCGAAAAGCCAATACCTTGTGAAGGAGCGTCGTTTCTTGCCCATAACAGGAAAACACCGCCTCACGGTGGCAGAACCCACAAGCCGTCACTTCTAGTTCTACAGGACATGCACAGGTGAAGCACGCAACCTCGTGAATAGATAACGTGAAGCAACATGGCCGAGAGACCTCACCTTGGGAGCAACCGCCTGCTTGAGGATGCTCGCAACCCACGAGGCCGCTTTCTTGGCGAGTTTCTCGCGGTGGTGCGCTTGACTGATGCTTGTCGCGCGAACGCCACTGACGCTCATCGTGGCACCGATGGTACCGGCAGGGGAAACTGTCGAGGGGGCGGTGCTTGTGTCCACGCTTGCACTCATGCGTGCACGGCTGCTGGCATGGCTTCCTGTGACGGGGAGTTCAGAATGGGAAGCAGCGGTAGCCTGGGGTACGTGCTGAATTGTTGCGAACGGTCACAAGAAATGCGGGGCTACATTCGCACACAACGCACGAAATGACCTGGACACTCTACTTTCGCGGACAAGGCCACTATCTTTAGCGCTCCCCTCCACTCTTGCTGGCAATCCCACGGGCAACGAAGAGTCGGGTCGCTACCAAGATCTGTCCAACACCGTGCACCGAAGCTTCGACGTCGACGTATTCTCCCCTACTATACCACAGTGACAAGTCAATGTTGGCACGTTAGACATCTTCGTTCCCTGTCCATGTTCACAAGCGTCCATGAATTCCACATTTGAAATACTCAACAAAATGCCGGGTCTAATGCTCGTCGAACAATGGAGACCGGTGCCGACGTTGATGTCAGGTGGAAGACGATAAAATATACAGCGAAAGAAACGCAACAAACACAACGCTGACCTACCGGCAGACGAGGGCGTGCTAGAACCCGCAGCAGGTGCCGGTGGCTTGTGAAGACAACTATCCCTAGATGATGCTGGCAGCAAAGAGGTTGCGGAGCTCCCTCTGCTTGCCTGCTCAACACAGGCGTTAAGGAAGCCCATTGTTTTAGCAACATACCGGACCGATCGGCTTGGTCAACTTCTTTAGCGAGCCAAACCAAATATGATTGCTTAGGTGGCTGACGCAAATTGAGTCGAATCTGTCGTGCATTTCACCGATGATGGCCGCGAAGAAGATGCCACCTTTACCTAACCCTCCACCCCAAGTTCGAACTCAATGAATGAACAAAAACTGTTGTCGGACATGCCCTTGGCTGTCTATAGGGCGAACTAGCTGAAGCAGAACCTTCACGCGACCTGATTGTGTCTGATAACCTTGAAGGTCTCACATTACCTGGAACACTGCTGAGCCAAGCCCAGGAGACCTAACCCCGACGTAAAGGTTCACTAGCGCTTGCACTAAATCGCGTCCCGTGGATTCAGAGGCCCTGTTTAAACATGAGGCAAAAGAGGGACGATGTGTTGTTGTTGTTGTTGTTGTTGTTGTTGTTGTTCTTATGGTGACTTTATTTAGTTAGCGGTATCTGTAACTCTTTCCCAGCTCCGCAATCAAATGTGTACATCACGGGTTGCTGCTGTTACTACCGGTTCTACGCAACATCTTGCAGGATTGGGGAGGAGGAACGCGGAAAACACCCTCGAAGCGACACACGAACAACTCTTCCTCAACGATCATGGCAGCATTTACATATGTGAGGTTTAGGTTTCCTTTCTTGAAGCCGTTCGATAGCAGTCGACCTACAACGCGTCAACCGAACTCGATACAACGCAAACACACAGGGCAGGAGGTAGGTCCCTGTCCAGACCGGAAGAAAACCGTCACTGAATTCTGTAACAGACACATCAGCAGCACCAACCCAACACACCGCAGGCGTTCACTCAAATATACTACAGCAACCGGCTGATACATTTCGGTCCAAATCCTCTTCGATTTACGGATCCCACAGACACTGAAACTGGGAAATTCATCCTTGCCCAAGATAGGACAAGATTCAACGCACAAGGTGACACGCTATCGTACCGGAGGTGTTCAAACGACAGCAGCCGGGCGAGCACCGGAGGTGCCACCTTGATGACTTCTTGTACGTAGTCGAAGTCGGCACTTGACGAACGAGGTTGCGCCAACCCCCCCCTCTTCCCTGCTGTGTCTGCCGAGGGCGTGCTGTGGCCATCCACGCTTGTAGAGGTCGTCGCCTACACAGCCCATCACGAGACACATTCCGTAACGCTTAGAGGGGTAAAGCGTGAGGTTTTAGCTACTACGCGCACCGTACCACCACGACAATCGGATGAACAACAAGACCGGGCCATCGAGGGAATACAACCAAGAACGGTCAAGTCAGACACGAACCAGAAGTCGTGCGGTTTCCCCTTCGTCCTCCAGTCCTGGAGAGCCCAAACTCCGGAAAATCAAAATCGTCCCGACATGTACCACAGCGTGCCCAGCCACCATGTGTTGTCCGAAGCTTGCAGCCCAACCCCTCACCTCTGCACCTGTAAACCAAGAAACTAAGAAGACGTTCATACGCACCGCTGTCAACTCTACAAGCGACCGTGATAGCCCCGGAACGACGCTCGCGAGCTCCACCATCTTGTCAGCGAACTCCTGCGCCGGCGGCAGTGCCGCCGCCATTGCCGGCGACTCCTCTCCATCATCCCCAGGCACCCCCGTGACACTACTTCCCGCCCTAGCATCATCGTCGTCATCCCAACCACAGTCTTCCCAGCTTCCGCCGTGCAGCAGAATTGCGGATGGCGACCTTGTTATTCTACTGACTTTTCGGGCTTCGTCTCTATCGCGCAAGATTCTGAGCTTGGCAGTCCCTAGGGTCTCCCGGGCATGTATGCAGTCCTTGAGGAAATCGCTAGACCCCGCTACTTGTTGCAGCAGGCGATGCATGTTGTCGCCACCCTGCCGCTGTTGTTGGTGCTGGCGTCCATCTAGAGCTTTGGCGAGGCTGCCTGAAGCTAAAACAGCATGCAAGCAGATTCAGTGACAGAACTATAATGAGTGTACAGACGAAGATTCACCCGCTTCGTTCCCAATGACGGTGACGAAAGTCACCCGGACGATACCTGCAGTATGCCCCGGACAATACTGACTCAACGATCCCCATCGTTTACAAAAGGCTTCGACTTGAGTAAAGCAAAAATGAACACGTATCAATGGAGGAACATCTTGCCTTGGAGTATCGGTGGATGCAACAGCAGTGGCATGGAGTATTGTAAGAAAAGACAGCCGAAGACGGAGCTACTTGTAGTACTCCTATTGCCCCAGACATCTTTTGGGCCCGAGAATAGTTTACCGGTGGGCTGCTGGTGCCGTCCTTGCCGCGCTCTATCACCGCTCGCGGCTGCTGATGGTGGGTTCCACTTCGGCACAGAAGTCTCGTGAGACGATGCCATCTTGTTGGTGATGCCTTCCCCGTCCGTTCTGAGTCGAGTTTAACCCAACCAGCCGTTCAAGGGCAAGTCTAGTATGCACTCCTGTAGTCGTACGTGGCGGTCGAGTCTGGCTTCCTGATACACGAAAAAAGCAGCGCGAAAGAGAGGTAGGGGCGAATGAACAAACACAGCACCAAAGCGCAGACTTAGTACTACTAGAGACGGCATTTGTAGCTTCAGCTCGGACTTAATTCACCGATGTAGAGCGCCATAGGTTCCCGCACCTTTCTCTTAAAAAAACCCCGGCATCTCGGCGATCTAAACATGCGTACCCGGGTGAATGGTGTTAATGTATCGCAGGGACCAGCAGTACTATACAGAAGTGGGTTGGATAAGATTGCGTACGATACCACACCTCCTGGTTTTCAAAGCTTGATGAGTACTCCGCAGCAACAACTGCGACGGTGCCGATAATGGTGTCATTGGGGTGGTTTCGTCGGGAGCTTTCCAAAACGCATCTCTTGATAATGGCACCGCCTTCGTCGTGGCAATCGAGCTCGGCCGACGGGGTGCGGTATCCTATTGTATCAACCTACAGCTGTGTGGTCTCGTCAACCCTTCGTACAACCTTCGAATCTAGCACAGCTGCCGGAAGCTGTTTATTGTTGCAACCGACGCGAAGGGAGATTCTAGGCAGGGTGAATGGGATGGGACGCATGCACGATCTCTCACTAACCATTGCACACATCACACCTATTGCATCATGCACAACACACGAAGTGCAACCAAACTACTGCGCTTTATAACACACGTACACAAAGAAAAAAAGTTGGACCGCGTTATTGAAAATCAGCAACGGGCCTTTGGGAGCCTTTGACAGCGAAGGTACAAAATAAAGAACAGATAGGCGCGATGCGCGGGAAAAATAAACCCACCCTACACGTACCGCAAGAACACAAACATACCGGGGGGCGATGGCCACAGCTACCGTGCCACCGCGGGGAAGGACAGCACAAAACAACACACTGCTATGCTGCTGCCGCGGTGCTGCTGTAGTGGTCCTTGCTGCGCCCCAATACCCCACCCCCCTCATATCGTAGATCTTGTTTCTGGCGTGCCCCGGGCTCTGGATCTCCGTAGACAGGAATCCTGCACGCAGGTCTGTCGCCTTCTAACAACGCAGGAGGAGTATGCCTACACACAGAGAGTATCCGGGTAGCCTTTTCCTATCTCAATCTTCTGGTTCGTGTTATCCCCCTTTGCCTCCCTTCACTATAGGGAAGGCTATCGTGACGATCGTTTGATACACACCAGAAAACATCAACTTCTCCCCCAACACATCACAAAAAACACAACACCGCCTGGTAGGATAGACTACAGCAGCAGCAGCAGCAGCAGCAGCAGCAGCAGCAGCAGCAGCAGCAGCAGCAGTAGCAGCAGTATTCGGTATTGCTCATTGCTCAATACAACTGCTGTCGTTACAACCGAAAGACCAGCAAGAGAGGAGAGAGAGCCTAGACGACGAAGAGGATTGGCAACAGTAAAATGGCCGAGCTGGTGCTAACATGTCGGAGCTAGCATTCTTCTCTAGCATAGGAGAGGCGGTTGACATGGTGGTGCCCGTGCTGCACTTACTTGGCTCTCGCTCTCTACCGTGGGTTGTGTGGTCCGTGGTGGCCGCTCGGCCGCTCTAGGCCTCCATCCAATCTCGAATCCTGACATGTCGTGGGCCCCCTGGCGCTACATGCCACCGCAGGATATTCGAAAACCAGATGAAATAATCCGTTGGACCATAATATCACTTCCAACGGATTATCCGCCCGGAATTTCGCAACGAATTTTTTTTTTCCGTCGGGCCAACTTCCGGGAGCCATAAGAGTCAGTCTTAGTCTCAGTTGTTACCTCGCATAGCGCGCAGAGGGAGTTGAGAACTCCAGAATATCTGTCGTTGATTTCTATTGACTTACGGACCCCTCGGGGCCATTTTATTTGAGTGTACATTTTTAGGGCAAGCCTGCGACCACGGGAATCGACCGCGTCGAGTGTTGGATCAGTACGGACATACGAAGACACTGGGAAGAGAGAGATCGGAACGGTTTGTAATGTGAAGACAACAACACCAACAACAACAACAACAACAACAACAACAACAACAACCTACCTATCAAATCTCTCTTACCTACGGTGCCCCCTTTAATCTTTCTAACCAACTGTTCTGGCAACAGGATGAAGGGCACCAACTGGGGCGACAAACCGAACGTAGGCCATGCTAGTCTGTTCCAGTTCTTGC